TTCTCAGAGCCAAACAACACATTTTCTTTATTTCTCACTTCATTTGCGAATTTCTTAGCTTATTATTTTAAAATGTCCACTCCCCTAGTCAATTACATAGTTGTGTTATTTTGTTTCCATGATATTAAATTAATTTTAAAATCTACATGCAAGACAAACACAATTCATATACAGCTCCCTGATGAATGAAAACCTTGGTTCTAAAAGCTTTAGCCAATGAGAAATTTGACTGATTTGCAGAAATTTTTATTACTACATTACAGTTATAAAAACATTGTTCTGTCTGTAATTGTAGTGCCAGTTGAACTCAAATCTCTAGTGCCTTGAGCAACCATTTTCCTGGCAACATTAGGAGACATCAGTTTCTGAATTTAATCTTTAGCAAGAAGTTATATGATGTACCCGAGCAGCAGAAGCATTTCCCCGTTTTATACAACAATTTCACTATGACTGTTGCAGCTAACATTTGGATGTTAGTGCTACTTTTACGAAAAGAAACTGATTGCAGTGCATGTGCTAATGCAAATGATTGCTTTTTTATTCTTTACTTCCAGCACTAAAAATTTCCAGCCCCCCTTTTAATTATGCATGTTTTCAAAATCCAATCGTTTTAGATTTGTCTTATTTGTTGTTCTCTTTCCCTCAATATCCCTGTTGACATTTTCAATTACCAGAATTATTTAAATTATTAGTATTTTCCCCAGTGGAATATTTATAGCTCTTCTCAATAACAAACATCTGCATACATATTTTGGTGTCACTATACTTGCTAGTTGGATATAGGCAAGATTTTTTTAGAATACCAAAAAGCCCTTGTTGTAAAAAAGGTCTACCATGATTTCATTGTTTTTGCTTAATACGGTTCTATCATGATTTCACTCTTCTTGGCTTCTGGAGAAGGGTGTTAGAAAGTTTTTGTTCATGATTTCACTCTTTTTGGTTTATCGAGAAGTATGTAAAAAAGTTTTTGCTCAGACCGCCAAAATATAGTATGATCAGCCCTGGTTGGTATCATATTGAATTTCTGAAAAAGGTTAAATTGAAGCATGCTGTGTTTGTGTGGGAAGTGACATGGACAGTGTTCTCAGACAGTTTGCTCACTAAGTACCTGACCACATGTGGAAGCGTGAATGCTGACTGTTACTATGAAACACTGTAAAAGTTGCAATGAGCTATTCAAATCAAGTGACAAGGTGCAGTTAGTGTTGCACTGTCTTACTGTGTGATGATGCTGAAACACCTGTGGCCTGTCACACATATGAATTATGGCTTGTCACCCACATGGCATGTCACGCACTTGGCTTGCCAAATATGTGTAGTCTGCCAAGGATTATTTGAACATCCACCATATTAGCCTTACCTCTCTTCCAGTGATTTTCATGTTTTCCTTATTTTATCTTCATTTTCATCTGGTCATTCCAACTGAAGAAATTCTTGCCTATCCAACTTTTCAAAGTGACAGAGCTGTGTTACAAATCAATTCTGACACTAAGCAGCAGAATTTTACAATACAGGCATCCAAAAATTGGTCCCATGGTATGACAGATGCCTTAAAATTCCAGAGAGGATTATGATGAAAAATTATTCAATAACTGCTGTATCTATTGCCATAAATCTTTTCATGCTATTTATTTATATTCTGCAAATGACCTCCAGAAAACAACTTTTTGGATGCTCCTCCTATTATTTAAAGGGTGTTTGAAGGCAAGAAGGCAAAGCATCATGTATAATGGATTGTATAAACATAACCATAAACATCAGTACCATAGACTAAACAGACACTACTGAGTACACTGAAATGCATGGATACAATCAATTCCACAACACAACATATGTGAATCAGACTTATCCTATATCCCTGAACAACTTATTTAACTTTATTCAGTTAAAGGAAGATAATTCTGCTAGTGGATATACTGAATAGCTAGTGGTACACTGAAGCAAATATAAAGTGATAAATATAACTTTTCGAGATATAAACTGACAAAAGCATGTATACTATATTCACATATTAAATCTAAAATTAAATAACATATTACAAACTTTAAAACTATTTCAAAATATAACTTAAATTTGTGCTTCTAAATAGTTATCATATTCAAAAGCACTGCAAATTGTCTTGACTTTTCAATACAGCTATCATTCCACTGCAACAAGCAGTAAATTGGTCCCCAATAGATAAGAGTATACAAAACCTATTTTACTCAGAAACCGCTCATTATAACAACGATTCACTGTATTATATCTTGGACATTTTGAGTTAATCAATTCATTATCACTACTGTTGTATTCCCCAACTTGACAACATATATAGAACTACCATTATTATTTTTGGTTTGGTTTATTTGATTATGGCAAAGCACTTAAGGGTTATCTGCCTAAGGGAAGGGATGCCTTCACGGAGGTCTTTCTAAGGGAAACTGGCTTGTATACAAGTTACACATGGGGAAAAACACCATGCAGCCAACTTGTTTGCTAGGATTTGAAACCCAGACCAAACTACTAGGGCTTAGTGACTTTACCACTCAGCCAACTTTTAGAAAAAGTAAGAATTGTTATCATTACTGCAAAAAATTTCTATTTAATTCAGTTTTCACTTTCAGCTTACAAAACTTCATCAATGGCATATTTATTTAAAAATATATAATAATATTAATATTATATATAACATTCTTATATAAATAAAATAGTTATTTAAAATGCAACATAATACATATGGAAAAAACAGGCCTATGCACAGTTTTGTTAATCAAGGGAATACTATTAATTCGTATACCAGTATCAAACCACTGACCAACAGTTAATTTCCTTGAATATGTTTCTCCAATTTTGTTCAAAACTGAGTATAATTAATTAAGATACTAATAACTGACTTAAGTACTTAAAGTACAAAGAGTGTCTTTAAAACCTGAAATGCAGCTTAACTCTAAAACTACTATGCATTTTCATAATTTGTAAAAATATTCAAAAATCTAAAGCCTGCACAGATGCTCTCCTCCTCCCCAGCATTGCCACTTGATGGTTTTTGAATCATAGCCATAAAGGAAAATGTCAAATATAGGCCATTTTCCAGATTATAAACACATTTTGTTGATTGAAAAAGCACAATTCATAAATATGGATGAAACCTATACAACAGATGCTATCCAATTAATAGATGAAATCGCAGTATGAAAATAAAACTGTTAATTCAGGAATAATATGTTTTCAAAAGTATTAGTGCTGGAAATGTGATTATAATGAGTACAGTTATTGCTGTGAGAAAATTATTGGAATCTTTTTGGATAAAAAGTAATCTAACACCAACAGGCAAACAGCAAACCATTGCATGTTGAAACATTCCCTTTACGAACTGTTGAAATACCTTATACTAATACTTTCATAAATGCACTATTAAGGATAAATTACTAGTATTTTAACCTGCTTTAGTCTTTAAGGAGATTAAAATAAAGTTTATTGTTCTTGTATTTGATGTAATGTTAGTGTTTTCCTGTCACGCTCTGATTGAAAATTATGAATCCTGTTTAACTCTTTGTACATTTCTTTCTTTTACTCCAGTTAAAGAAAGCAATTTAACAAATTTTACATGGTATTGATAGGAAACTTAATATGCACATAAAATAAATATAAATACATGCACACGTTTATGTTAGATGAATGTACATAAAAATGAGGAAAGTTTTTCTTTCCCTCTCTTTTTTTTTTTTTTTTTTTTTGTAAATTCACAAAATAAGCTAAAATAGTGGATCATGTATTAAATACATGCATTCCAATTATAAATTGGAAGGGATGACAAAGCAAACCTTCCAGAACTGATGATACCAGTATCTAAGCTATTTAAATTAAAGAGAATCATTTAAAACAGCACATATTCCGATTTAGAGAATGGTATTTACAACAAAAGTTTAATGAGAATAATTATTAGTAAAATTTCAAATGTAAATAAAAAGAAATAAAACATGGTTTCTTCATAACTAATGCACTGAATTAATTATACTCGGTCCTAAGTGATGAACTCTAATGCATAAAACTGACATTGCCAATTTTTGAACATAACTAAAATTTGAAATGCATTGATTTACAATTCTGAATGCAACATGAAAAATGCAATGTGCAAATATGTACACATTTGAAATGTAAACTTAAAAATGTAAGTAAATCACTTCAGTGTTTCTAATGCTATTACCAATCATTACTCTGTTGTGTTGTCACTTATCTTACTTGTCTGACATAATCAAAGCAAATCCACAAATTTTATCATGGCAAGGATAGCAGGATTGCATCTGTCACTGGTATGAGCTTGAGCAGAGGACAGTATATAGATAACAGTATGATGTTGCCTATCTCTGCCCCAATTTTGATGGACAGCCCCCTGGGAGATGGTATAAGGGTCTCCTCCAATCCTCTTTTCCTACCACCAAATTATTTGAGTCGACATTCGGCTCGCCATGTATTCCTATGCCACACAGGTACACAGAAATTATACACTTACACACATTTATGCTCTTTTTATCTTGGGATTCAAATGTATGCCCAAGGAATGATACAGAAGACAGGAGCACTAACAACTACACTGATCAGGACAGGTCATTGCTTTGTAAAAAGCTCATTAAAACTGATTCAAAATGATGCACTGTATTTTATGACTGATGTTGTTCCATGCAGATTACATGGAAAAGTTTCTTTATTTCAGTTTGGTGGCAGTACAGCATACTAGTAAATGGGTACATAACATATATGCAAGATTGTGCTTATAATCATTTATATTGCAAGCTGAACAGACAAAGAAACACTATTACAACAGCTACACTCCATCATTTTAACATTATAAATCTATTTGATTACTTTAATATAAGCAGAGAAAACAAATTCAAATTAAAAGGATCCCCAATTTATTACATTAAACTCTTTGAAAATATTTTTATGTATACTCTGTTGAGCATTTCAAATATTACATCAAAGCCTATTTATTAAATAATCAATTTAAATTTCTGACTTACTTGACAATGGCAAGAGGAGCATGGATCTTGTATTAAAGGAACTTTCTCTCCAGGTTTATAAACCAAGCCATTATACGCACATCCTCTGAGTTGGCTGTAAGTGCTGTTATAAACAAGGGAACAAGGATCACTGGAACAACGTGGGCAGCAATCTCCAGAATTTTGTATAGGATTTTCACATGTGATAGGTGGACATTCTAAATCCCAACAATCAATTTCTCCATGCTTAGAAAGAGAAAGTCTAACATTATCAATGAGAAAAGTTTAACTATTAAAATTCAATTACAAATTAAAGAAAATCATTTAAAACTGTACATATTCTAATTTAAACAATGGTATTTAGTAGTAAATAATGTCCTGCAAAGCAGATATGTTTCATTTGCAGCCTCTGCTAGCAAATAAGTTTAACACAAGAAGTAGCTGCACATAAACATAAGTACAGGACTAGCCATTCCAATGCATGAATCGGGCAGAAAATTTCAAGCATTCAATAATGACATAAAAATCTGCTACTAGAAATTTATTCTGCCTTTTTTACTTCTGTGTTTTCCCTCCTTTTTAATAGTCACACTGAACTAGATATTAAAAAAAGACAGATCGAAAAGGCTATAGCACTTTTCTGATTATGGAATAATCCCTGTTCAGTAACAAGATATACAACATAAGAATTATATTGTCAATCCTGCTTGATAACAATATATTTACTGCTTAATTTATTTAATCCAAAAATTTTTATTACAACCCAAAAATTAATATTTGAGATTACAACAATTTCTTATAAAATGATAAATTTCATTTTATAACTTTACATGTCTTAAATGAAATAGCATTACCCTTTTGTTTTGCTTCAAACAAAGAAAAAAATATTGACATTTAATATATTACCAGGCATTCACATGTTTGGCACTGATAAATCCATTGATCACCATTGCGAAATGATTTTGGAACTTCCTGATGTTGACAAACTGACGAATGATCACAGTGAGGACAACATTCAAGATCTGTATTGCGTTTTGTGCAATCACACTCAATAGGCTGACATATAACAACTCCATCTACACAACGACACCTAGTACAAGAGTCACTGGACCACACTTCTCCACTTAAACGCTGCTGCCCATAATGAAGACAATCTGAAATTATTCAAAAGAATAATGTCAAATTATGCATATGCTGTTAATGGAAAATAAATTGATATTTTTCTTAGACATTTCCATAGTTCAGTATACTATTAGATATGCTCAAAATAGTTGAGAAAGATCAACCAGGAATATGAAGTTGCACGATACATTAATGTGCAACATGTAAACATTAAAACTAATAAAAACTAACAAATTAAAACTACATATATAGGTAAACATTACACAGATTTGAGTAGTTATATAGCATTTCTGCACCAAAATGTACAATTCTAAAAATTAGATATGACAGAGGGAAATAAAAATAAATAAGTAATAATTAAAGTGCAACATAATGTAACGAGAAGGATAAAAATTTAATAAAATATTAAACTAATGATAAAAAATTAAGTAACAAAATAAAATACCACACATGTTATTTGGGGCTCTGGCTGGAGTTATTTCACCAAAAATTAAGAAATAGCTCAGCCGGCTTCTAGCTGAATTTGTCTTGAATATACAGCATAATGTAATACTTCATGGAAACAAAAAAAAAAGTTTTCCAGCACAAAAATGAAAAAAGGTAAAGTGATTAAAGCATCATTAATGAGAATAAAGAGAATGTTAGAAATAGTGCGAGAGTATGGAAGAAAATTTTAATGGAAAAGTGCAGCTTCAAACTTCCTGACTGCAGTACCCTACTGATATATTCTAGCTGTCAAACAGAACGTGAGGGCAGAAAAAATTTCTCCTGAATTCTATCCAATAACATGAAAACAAACATAAGGTTCCATGCAAGTCATAATTTTTGCCCCCACATTGGATTACATCATTAAAAAATCTGCAGGAGATCTAGTCTAGTGGAGAAGTGTACTGTTGGATGTCATAACCAGGATGATAACTTAGTTTTTTTTCGAGGGGGGGGGAATTACCCACTTTCATTAATTCACTGAACTTTCTGATGAATAAGCCTTTAGAGGCTTTTCTTTCCATAAAAAATCCTGAATTGTTTGTTCTAAGAAATACAGGTACACTTGAGAAGTTAGAATCGATTTTTAAAGCTTATTTATTATTAAAATAAAATTTGTCTGCGTAAATTTCAAGTACCTTACTAAAAAAAAAAAAAAAAAAAAAAAACCTGCAGCCCTTTTATTTAGGACTTCAGTGCACTCTGGCTAGAACTACGATTCCTCTCAAAAAACTGAAAGTAATGGAACCAGGCTCTGGCAAAATTTAAGTTATGTCTATGTGCATAACTATCACACCTTATTCTGATCTGGGAGGCTTTCAGATATTAAGTTTATTATACAAGCTTTAATCTAAGCTAATTTAGCTAAGATATTGTCTACTGCATAATATTTAAAAAATAAAAAGGAAAGGAATCCCAGAAAAATAGCTATGCAGCCAGCCAATTTTGCCACAAACAGAAATCTGACAAAATAACAGTTTTAACTACTAGATCAGAGGTAGATTGTTTCCTCAATATAGTTACAGTGAAAAATATAAAGCATGCAAATAGGGGGAAATAAAAACAAATCTTACTTAAAGAACAGGAACTATTATCCAGGCATTCACAATGGTAACTACCTTCTTCATTAACACATAAAGCTGATAAATCACAAGTATGGCTTCCAGTGAGACATTCATCAATATCTAGAATAATATATTTCACTTGCATGAAATTAAAATATTTACTGTTGAACAAATAATTTTTAGAATCAACAGTTAGCATTCTTATTCAAATTAACAACTGTTAATTTCTAGACAAATACAGAAAATCAAGCAGTATTTCATCAAAGTAAAATATTGAACTGAAAACTAATTACCTTGGCAAAAGGCTCCAAGATTGTCTTCTGGATGGCTTTCAAAGCCCTGCCTACACTGACAGTAATACCATCCTGGCATATTGACGCACTGCGAATTAGGATGACACATATGAAGACCAAGGGAACATTCATCAATATCTATGTAATTTAAGGGAAAAAACTGAGCTTATAAATACATACATGAAATACACTAATTAAAAACTGAAATAGATTTCTTTTACAAATTTTACCTGTTTCACAATTTAATCCAGTGTATCCATGTAGACAAGAACATGTTTCAGGTGCAACACACTGACCACCATTCAGACAGGTGTTCACACATACAGCTACAAAATAATAATAATAAAAAAAAATGATATTTATATATGATTGTTGACTATTAAAGAACAGTTTAATCTACATAATTGCATATAAGTACTTTTGATGAAAATAGTTTAAACCCTGGCCTATATATATATTTAAGAGAAAAATTTTGCCAAGTTTTTTTTTCAAGACTCAAAAGATCAAAATAAGTTATGATGTAACAACCATTTAAAATTTTATACTAAGTTCCAAAATTTAAAATTATTCCTAAGTTCCAAAAGTATGTTAGTATGTTCCCTTTCACAAAATCGCTGTTGTGATCACTAAAATTCTAAAGAGTGTAAAATTGCATTGTTACTAAGTCTGCAAATTTCACAGCACAGTACATTTATTTGCATGAATCACATACAGAAAATGTAGTACATTAAAAATAAAATCATTTCTAATAAAAATGTTGGTCACTCTTATATAATGCCACTAAATCAGTGATACTTGAAATAAATTAGGCAAAATTACTTGAATATCCAAATCTGTGTTCATTTTCAAAGTTATTGCTTTCTTAATTTGGGGGATGCATTGGTCTCCTAGGGAGAATGCATATATTTATTCTATATTCAGAGCCATTTTAACATGCAAAGTGGCCTGGGCATGTTTGTGCCTCGATAACACTGGGTTCAGCAATATTTAAACTTCCGTAAATAATTAAGCAACTTCCGTTCGCAAAAAATTATTTTGATAAATGTTGCTAATGCTCATTTTTATTTAATTCAGTAATATTTATAATATAGTAAAACTAGTTTATCTGCATTAATAAAAACAAACGCGACAGAAAAAAGCTTAATTTTTTTAGCATTTAACATTTATAAGATCTATATGTAATTTCACTATGATTCATCCATTCTAATAAATTAAACACAACACGTCAATTATTAAATTTTGATTTTTCTAATAATGATCTAAATTTCCAATTCATTTAAGAGTAAAAAAATTATCTTTTCCCTTTACAATTGATGCTAGCAGCACTGAACTAAGATAAATCATACAGGTGTAGATGAATTTCCGAGTATGAATTCGATTTGCATTCCATTAATTGATTTTAGAATGCAATCGGTTTTTGAATCTCTCACTCCAATAAAGTCATGCGCTATGAATCCAGCATTTTCTAAAAAAAGTTTTTTAAACATTAAATATTCATCATATATTCATGGACTACACATTACTCAACCTGCTTATACTAAGAACTTTTGTATTCATTACTCACTTTGCTCTTCTCAGATTTTGGAGTTTTAAGACCTTTAGGTATATCCATTATTGAATGTTAAAATATATTTGTACAGCAAAGTAGCCCTTTCCTCCACAAATAGAAATACCAGCAATTTTTAGAATACATATGGATGAAAATTAAATACAAAGATTTAAATGTTACTGACAATACTGTCAATGATTTGCACAGTAATCTGTGTATTTGTTAATATTTTCCTTTTAATTTTGGCAACATTTCAAATTAAAACAAATATTTACTCCTGAAATCGAGAAAAGATACCCCATATTGAATTTATCAGTACCATGGATCATTTGAGCCCATTTAGCCCAAAAGACAAAGAGGATCTTGTCCACAATTAATATACCAAAGTTCCTTCTCCCATTCTTCAAATCTCTCTTCTTTCCCAGTTCAAAGTCTAAATCGCCATTATTGGTATTTTATATATTGCGCACTTTACTCATTACTTACTACTTTAATTCGTCTAATTGTCAGCTGATTAAACTGTCTAACAGTTGACAGTTCAAGTTAAACATAATACTGGCTCCAATATTTTGTTATTTTTAGAACTAGAACTTGTACATAATGCAAGAGTTTAGGAAAACAAAGTTTTATACGTCACCATTCATGTAAAAACAGAATAATAAAAGAGTCCGAAAATTTAACAATGAAATAAACACATGATATACAGACAGACTGCACAAAAGTAGCAGCTTTTTCACTAAATCATTGTATTGCTAACAGTGGAAACTTGGAAATTCCTAAGGAAATTAAGCTACACAAAAATTTCACTTCACTAACAGCTTTATCATCACTGAGGCTACTAATGGACATGCACAGGTCAGCTGTTTATTTGGAAATGCAGAAATCACTAAATGTCACCAAACAAATTTGACAATTTTGTGAAAGCTTAAAATCTAGGGTTAGATAATGTAAAATAACTTTTAAGTAAAACTAAGAAATAATATGGATTTAAAAATATGCAAATCAATTTTTTAAATTTATAGATAGAACATTTCATTTTATTCACACTGAATATACTCTATTAGGGATCTGGAAGAAAAAGTTTCTTACGTTCACAGGCATAACCATCTCCAGAATAGCCATCAAAGCACTGGCAAGTATAACTTCCAGCAGTATTTATACAAAGAGCATTTTCATGACAGTCATGTTCACCAGAACTGCATTCATCATTTTCTAAAAAAATTGAAAAGTGAACATGTAAAAATGCCAAAATGAGAAAAAGGCATTTTCAGTTACTTTTTAAAGCAATGCATCAGATTTTTCAAGTGACACATTTTACACTAAATATATATACTATATAATTATTTTCTTACCAACACAATTATATTTATCAACTCGTTTATATCCAGGAAGACATTCACAAACATAATCTCCACGTAGATTCACGCATACAGTGTTTTCTCGGCAATGATGACCATCATGTCCACCTTCCCTTTGGCACTCATTTATGTCTGAAAACACAGGATATTTAAAGTGCATGAAAAACTTGAAACAAAATAATGAAATATACATTATTTACTAACATAAAAGTAAATAACATGCAATTATAGCATGAATAAAATTGAATGGATAAAAAGTAGGCAAAAAACATTATGATGTATCTTCCAGGAAAGCGTTAACAAAATTTAATGCACTAAGTGCAAAAAAACTTTAAAAAAATCAATTGGCAGATTTCTGATTCTAGTCTTAACATTTCAAAGGGTTCATTAGTAAAATTTCAAAAAATTAAAAATATTAGGAAACTTAAATCATAACATAAAAAATAAATAAATAAATAAATAAAACTGCAATCCATTCTTGTTATGAAGAACTTGATTCTTGATCTCATTTAAAATAAGTTGTTCAAAATGGCAAAACAAAATAAGGGGGAAAGCCATGATATTACTTTAACTTAACACCACATATAGATTCATGCATTTTTAATAAAGAAAAGAACCATTCCCAAAAATGATGGGCATTTATTTCAATGGATGGATTGCAATAAAATTTTTGCCTCCACTGACTATGCTCTACTTTGCTAGGACAAAAAATCCACTAACTAAAAACAATAGACATCTCGAACAAATTTCCTTCGAGATATTGATTAAAAAAAGAGAACCTGTAATCTGAAGTTTTCAGATTGCAGTGTAACAGCCAAAAAGGCGAGTTCACTATCTTTAGAAACTTAAAAATATAAAGTACACAATTCTCTTTTTAAACAAAAATAGCTACTACTATTGCTAAAATAGAAAGCTAAATATCTCCTCTTAAATAAAACAAATTCAAAGAATCTTCCATTAAAAAAGTTCTGACATTTCCTTTTTTCATTCAGTTTTGTTTTGAAAGGAAAAACACTTTAAAAAAGTACACTACCGTTTGAATCAAAATTTTAAAAATGTCTAAAGCAAATAACATTCTGTACATTACTACAAAATTTCATCACCACTTTTAGATTTAATTTTAGGTGTATGCAATAAGAGTGCATGAGAAGTAAAGCTTGAAATTTTGCAATCAACATTTAGAGTGTTATAGCTAATGACTGAACCAATTTAGCTATCAGTGCATGCTATTTATGATGTTAATGTTCAATGACTGTTTAAAATTAAAGTGACATTAACTTAAAAGATGCAATATAATTTTGATAAGAAATCCAACAAAGAGATTTATAACTTATACAAAATAAAATAGTAGTTAGAACATGCTTTCAATGATTTTTTAAATTGCTTATTACCTTCACATTGTGTGCCATCTCCCTGAAAACCATTATTGCATTGGCACATATACTGTGTTCTTAAATTGATACATTTTGCATCTTCATGGCAATCATGACCTTTACTACAAAAATCAACACCTAAAGAGGCAAGATGATATATAGTTAATTTAAATTCAAATTAAATGGAAAAAATGATTTTAGAGAAGCAAGTAAAATGAATTCCAAGCTTCACAATATCTAAAAATTTTAGCAATTTTACACAACTCGCAAATACTTTAACATGTAAAACATTAACCACTGAAACCGATTTCTGCATATTGCATATCAAAGAATATTATATAAGCAAATTAAAATAAACTAAGATGCATAACAATATAAGTTAGGTTTGAGAAAATTATGTGAACAGTAATACCTGGGCAAAACAGACAACATTCACCAGGAACACGAAACTGCTGTTCTTCAGGGCATGTAAGATTAGGACAAGTTTCATTATCAATTCGCCAACAATGCATACTACCATTCTATGAAAAAGTAAAAAATATTTAGAATATAAGCAAATGAAAAGTCCTTATATTTTCTACTTGATAAAAAGTACACCAGGAAACTACTACAAATTTTAAAAATTTAGGAGCAATTTGCAAGCATTTCTAAAAACTAGTATTTCCTAGTATCTAATATACAAAAATACACTGGCTATTTATAAAACTTAAATATAACAATTAGTTGGAGAGAAGGTAATATCTGGAACAAAAGCAACAACAAAAAAAAAAAAAAAAAAAAATATTTGCCATGAGGAATACAAATAAGCCCAAAATTTCATTTCCGCGATTAACCACAATCAATTTACAGGATTTTAATAGCTGATAGAGGTCTTCCAGTTAGAAAAGAAGAAACAGCTTAATACGCCGAACTGCCTTGAAGGCCAACACGCTGACGGATTCGACTGGCTACCTGTGCCGTGGCGTGCACCAGTGACGGATGGGATGCAACCAGTAGTAACAATACATACAGTACATATCAATACTGAATTTTTTAATAAGACCATGTACTATAATGGTTCGAACGCACATAATAAATCATCAAACATGTTACAAGTATGTAGCCTCTGAAGGTCGCGGTGACCCCCCCACCCCGAATTAAATATGATCATTATAAATTATTCTTCCACATTATCTTCTGTAGATACTATTTTCAACATAATTATACATTGCAAAATAAAAATTTAAGTTGGGAGTCATGGGCTAACCACGTGGGAAAACGGATACGCTCGTTTGTCTACGACCACTTTAACAGTATCTTATCCATCATCTCTCTATCGTCCGGGGAAACAATAATCCCTTCCATGGTCGATGCGCACGCAGAGGGCTTCTCACCCGGGACCATCTGAGACACCCATAGTCCCCTCAGGATACTCGGATTAAATATACAGACATGATTCTCATCCCAACCTCATATTCTTTACGTTGGCTGTCGCCACGTTCCGCTCTACGGAGCTGAAAGAATCGACACCGTGAAGCCCAGTTACGGCAAGGTAAGGCAAGGAACTATCGGCGTCTACTTTATGGGACCCGGGCACAAAATTGACAACCGATCCGAGTCTCTAGGCTCTGCATGTCTTCAGATAACCCGATTTTTTCTACATGGTGGTATCGTGGAAAGTCCTTGGCGCTGTAGCACGCCGATGGTTACCTTTCTTTGTTTCATTGCTCCGTTCCGGTGTCTAGGGAAATCCTTGCGAATTGGGAAATGGAGTATGGTGGTTGTGGATATTGGTTTGTGTAATTACGAACTTGTACTTATCAATCAACTTATCATCCAGAGTAAACACGGGAAAACCACAGACACACCCATGCAGTTAAACCCATTCACCAAGATTTGAATCAAGGTCGAACTGCTAATGTCCAAGAATCAAATGTACCCTTTGTAACTAAGCAATGCTTATCATTAAAACTGAACAGGAGGGCATACGGAGGGGTTGATACTGAATCTTTATAATCAGAGCAGTTGCACTCGCATTTCATACAGTCAGTAGATTTCAAAATAAAATCATAACTATTTGCCTGTCGCTGTTCATAATTAGGAACATTATTTAATAAATTATTTAAATACATTATTTTTCAGAGATTTTACACTGGAAGGACATTTAAAATTTAATAGCAAGTTTTCTTGAAAAAATCACTGTCTCACAACAGCACATGAAAGGACACTGCAATAATTAGTTAACTGAATTATTACTAATTAAAATGGATTTTAAAATATTTGTTACAATGAAAAAGAATACTTATTTGTAAGTATACTCCTATATTTGTTCAGATTTTTTTTAATTTCTTACACTATCTATTTTCTTTTAATTTTTTCTTCCTTTCTATTATTGTTCGATTTCTTTTAATTTTTCTCTCAGGTAATTATCAGTTGCGTAGCTAGGATGGGGCAAGGGGGGACGTCTGTCCCCAGGCGCAGCATCCAGGCAGCGCCAAATTGATGCTACGAAATTTTTTAATAAAATGTTTTCCATTCTTGGCACACAGAAAGGGCGCAAATTCTTCATTTGTCCCCGGGTGCTGGAATCCTAGCTATGCCACTGATGATTATAACATTCTAGAGATTAAATTTATAAATGTGCAATAAAATTTAACTAATGCAGGAGTATGTTTAACCTAGATGTAATGTTCCCCAGCTGAAAAATAATTTCCTATGATAAAAATTTTCTCTCACAATAGTAGATTTCTCACTAACTAGATAATGGAATAAAAAATAAAGCTTTTATAATGGCTCTAGCAATAACTGAACTCCACATGTAAACATTTAATTACTTTTAATGCAATTGCTTACAAAGTATTATATTTATGCTTATTTATTAACAATCACAAGACTAAGTATATAAAGCTCAACATTATTGCTTCCAGTTCATATTTGACATTTTACTTAAGTCTAGTTGAGTTTAGTCTTTGGTTGATTTTAGAATTCGTTAAAGTGAAATTACTTTGTTTGTTGCACTTATTTTCAAGATAAACACAGCATTTAAGCATGAAAAGAATTTTAACTTACTCTGCATTCACAAGTTGCGCACTGAACTGGACTAACACGCTCACCATGGTCATAAGGAACTTCTTCAAGCAGGCACTTCTCTGGAACATCAAATTTTATACACTAGAGCAAATCTATATATGACTGTTAAACAGAATAACATTTGAGATTTTGGGAAAATAATACAGAGCTAATACTAAATGTAATACCAAGTATTATATTTAGTCATTCACACAGCAACTGTACCTTAATTTTATTCTTTTAATACAGCAGTAACTGACAAAAGATTTGAAAATTTAAGGAGCAAGTACAGTACTTGCCCAGTTAGATATAACAAACACAAATTTAAAAAATCCAGTTTCTGTCTTCATGTCAAAATCATGGTATATCTAAGGAGAAAAAAATTAAAGCGCTATTTTTTAAATGCTAAATGTTATTAAATGTACCAGAAAAAATTTAATTTGGTGAATTTTCTTGTATAGAAAAAAAAAAAAAAAAAAAAGACTAAATTCTGCAGATATGGCAAAAACAGGGTCGAATATAACTGTACACATAATGTGCAAAGCTATGCTATATAGCTGTGCTAATTGTGAATACACACAAATGTTCTTGCAGCCAATATAAAATTTAGTAATTTCATGGAAATTCATTTGAACTACAAGTACTAAAAATAGATCAGCTGCAGGATTTGAAAGATAATAAACAGTATATCATTACAGAATCATGATAGGGAGGTTTCAAATATACTTTTAGTCTCTTGGACTGAAACAGGTAATGGTTAATTCTATTCAATTTGCACAATTTAAAAAATTATTATGCAAAACTGAGTACTGCCACAACATTCTACATAATATTACAGAAAAATTACTGCCAGTTTTAAATCGGTTACAAAACTGAAAGTCGTACATTAAAAAAAAAAGAGCTAAAGGAATAAAAGTATATACATAACTTCCTGACATATTAGTGTTTCAGAAGTGAATATAAAAGTGTCAAATTATACTCACTCGGACAAACAGGACAACATTCTCCAGGAGGAATTATAGGCTTTTTGCATGGGACTAATGGACAAGTAACTGGTAAACATTTTATTTCACCATGCTGTAAATAAGTAATTAAACTATGATGCGAAGGAAGGCAGGAATTTAAACAAATGTGAAAAAAAATCTATATTCATTTCAAAATCAAGCAAAGCTTTCATGAAAATATGTATTTTAGTTAACAGTGAAAATGTTTTAGCTGTTTATATATTATGCAGCAACAACAATGAACTGGTATATACTATTTTAATCTCTAATGCTTAATTTCCATTTAATGAAGATTAGGTTACAAACAGTTTTATTAAAATAGCTTGAAAACTATCAGATTTAATGGAAAAGCAAATTTTATTTTAAGATAGACTGAAAGAAACTGAGACATACCACACAAGAACATATGTCACACTCATGCTCCCAGGTTGAACCATCAGGATGCAGAGATCCATTTACAATACAATTTTTTCGACATTCACATTGCTGTAATGCTGATATATGATGTTCAGCATGTGCTAACTGTTGGGAAACAATTCATTACAGAAATCTGATAAAAACTTGCTTTTAACAAATGGAATATACTACATCAAATCAAAACAAATTATAAAAATTAAATACGTTGAAAACTCATTTGTAGTTTTAATTTAGTATTACTTTATTAGCTAGATAATTATAAAATATAATTAATAAGGTATTTTTCTTTTGAACAGCACACATATTATTTAAACTGATAGATCATTTTAAGAACATGCAGGCAAAATAACAAATACAGTCAAAAGTCGTTAATCCGGA